ATATATATATATATATATATATATATATTTATATACATATATTTATATATATATATATTTAAAGTTTTTATTGATTTATTTTAAGAGAGTGAGAACAAGCTAGGGAGGGGCAGAGAAAGAGGGAGAGAGAGAGAGAATCCCAAGCAGCCTCTGCACTGTCAGCGCAGAGTCTGATGCGGGACTCAAACTCATGAACCTGGAGATCATGACCTGAGCTGAAACCAAGAGTTGGATGCTCAACTGACTGAGCCGCCCAGGCCCCCCAACAATTTATGTTTTATTGATAATGATGGGTATAATGTATTAAACACTACTTATAAGTCTGACACTGCACTAAGTACTTTATAAATATTCTTTGTTTTTAACAATTTTTTAAGTTTATTTATTTATTTTGAGAGAGAGAGAACGCATGCACACACAAGTGGGGGAGGGTCAGAGAGGGACAGAATTCTGCACGGTTGGCATGGAGCCCAACACGGGGCTCGAACCTGTGAACTGTTAGATCATGACTTGAGTTGAAACCAAGAGTCAGACGCTCAAATGACTAAGCCACCCAGGCGACCCTACAAATATTCTTAAATTTAATACCACAAGCCTGTGTCAAGTCAGATTTCTCTGGTTACTTGCCCTTTAGCCATACCTACCTCTTGCTTGGGAAAATGGTCCTGAGACTCCATTCCAATGTGGGTTACCTGCACCCGCACTTCTCTGGGGACACCAACTGGGTGTCCAACAATTCAACTCAGTTCTATCACCATCTGCCTGGAGATAGTATTGGATCTCACAGGTTAAGTGTTCAGTCCCATACGACTACCCCTCACCATGAGCCCCACCCTCACCCTGAGTCCCCCCTCCCCCAAGCCCCCCCCCCCCTTCAGATGCCAGTTACATGGCCAGGTTACCTGTGCTTCTGACCAACTGGCTATAACTTCTTGGGTTTGGTTGACTTGCCAGATTGGCTAACAGAACTCAGAGAGACATTTTATTAGCTGTATTACCACTTTATTATGAAAGGATATAACTCCGGAAAAGCCAGGTGGGAGAGATGCATAGAGCAAGGTGTGTGAGCAGAGTGCAGAACTCCCGTGTCCTCCCCAGGCACACCATTCTCCCGGTGTCTCCTGATGTCCACATGTTCATCAACCCTGAAAGTCTCTGAACCCTGTACTCTTGGGTTTTTATGGAGGCTTCATTACATAGGCATGGCTGATTAAATTATTGGCCATTGCGATTGATTCCACCTCCAGCCTGTCTCCCCTCCCCTGAGGTCAGGGTGGGGGGCAGGGAGGTGGGGACTGGGAGGGGGGTGAGGAGTGAAAGTTCTAATCCTTTAATCAAAATCAGGCCCCATTGGCAACCATGGAGCAACCACGGCAAGATAGGCTCCATTGGCAACCAGCCCCCATCCTGAGGTGTTTTCCAAAAGTTCCCTCATTAACATAACAAAGTGTGATAAACTCTCAACACAGGAAATTCCAAGGGTTTTGAGTTGTGTGCCAGAAATGGGGACAAAGACCTAATATTTGATACAATATATAAGAAATACAAATATAAGAAATACAAATATGTATTTCTTATAATAAATCACAGTATCACATTAGGTAACTAAACCCTGACTTTTTTCCCCCTGAGCTGCAATGTGCCCAGCTCCAAGATATGAATTCTGTTTGGTCTAAGCCAATAATATTCCCCAATTTCCCAGCTCCCTTGCTATGAATTGCCATATCTCCCAGTTCTGGCTAATAGGATCTAAAGAAAAGTCCAGAACAAAGACTACGGCGAAGCCTTCTATTTTCCTGTTAAAAGGAAAGATACAGGTACCTTGATATAAATGTGATATTTGGAGCCACAACAGCCATTTTATAAACATGAGGCAATAAGGATGAGATAAAGGCCAAAAGAATCTGGGAGATGTTTATGAGGTGCTGAAACGACACAGTCACCACTTCCAGAGCTCTTGCTAGGTGAGAGAAACTATTCCTTTTTGTTTAAACCACTGAGTCAGATTTCTTCACTTGCAACCAAATGATGAAATACATGCTTTAGATACTATCATTTTCAGTTTGGGATGAGAAGATTAAAGTAACTAGCTCAAGGTCACACAGCTCATAAATTGTGGTATGAAATTCACCTCTAGTTCTATCCAAATTTAAAGCCTGTCTTCTCAACCACTATCTTGTGTTGAAATCGTCAGCGTGGTTGATAGAAAGTATGTTTTTCAACAGCTAGGATCTCTAAAAAATAGAGTAACACAAGAAAAGAGAAGAAAAGAGGAAAAAGCAGGCTTCCCAGAACCTTTGCTGGGAAAGCCCTGGTCTTTCTGAATCTGGGCTGCTGGTATCCAGTAAGAGGCCAGAATGACCCTGCAGACTCATTTGTTCTCGTATCTGGGAGTTTTTCCCGCAGCTGAAGGAGACAGGTGCCCACATGGGGTGAACTCAGAGAAGGAGAAGCTGGGATTGAGGTTTTGGTGTGCAAGCTCTGCTGGGTTGGCTGCCTGGAGTAGCCCTGGGAAGCTAGCCCAGGGACTGGACTGAGACCCAGCCTTAACGCTGACCTAGTGGGCATTGGACAGCCAGCTACACCCTCTGCACAGAGTCGGGGAGCATGGCAACTCAACACGGATGTGACAAGAACCAGAGACAGCCTCTTGTTTGCAGCATGCTTATATGATCTATAAACAGAAAGAAGGGAGGATCTGCCTGAAAACCATACCTGAGACCGTGCAGGCAGTGACAGCGGGGTGTGGACCTGACTCGGGGGGTATGGGAGACAGCTGGGTCCTGCGGTCCCACTTTTTTTGCCAGGAAATGAGGGCAAGCATACTTTCAACACCACCTATGTCTAGACATGGGAGAACAAAGATGAGTACAACGTGCCAGACTCTGAATTAGGTACTTTACTTTATGCATATTATTTCACTTAATTCTCCATATACTACAATGAGGTAATTATTAATATCGAGTTGTTAATTTAAAAAAATTATAGCTCAGACGAGTTAAGAAAATTTGCAAGGTGCACAGCTAGAAAATGGTGACGTTGGAACTCAAGCCTAGGTCAGTGTTTCCAAAGCCCATGGCATGTGACTCCGACTCTCAGGAAGCTCAGGGTGAAAGGAATCAGTCGTAGTTTCTTCCTACACAGCAGAAAGAAGGCAATAATGGCTCATGGTTCTTTGTGTCCAAGCCCTGCAGGGAAGAGGATTGGTGACAGGTCTAGAATTAACAGTGCTTGACAGCTGTCACCACCCTCGATGGCAGGGTTAAGAACGCGAGTCCTGAAAATGTAGGTCAGGGGGAGTCACCGCCTTTTTCTGAGAGCACGGGGCTCTGATTCAGATGGTCAAGTACAGACACATTCTCCCTCTGTGTTTCTTCAGTGTCCAGGAGCTGTGACCCAGACCCGCGTCCCAGGACAGACTGGAGGTGGAGGCAGAAATGAGTGCTCACGGACACCTGCTCTAAGGATGAGAGCAGAGGTTGATGGGAAGTAGGCCACAGAACAGACCCCCAACTGGACACAACTGAGGTAGGGGTAGTCCCCAAGTGATTTTTATGCTTTGTTGATCAGATTCTTTATGTTCTGGGTTCATTAAACAAATTCTCCATTCTATGTCACCAAGTCCCTGGGTGGGCTTGGACCCGAGACCACACGGCCAAAGCACCTAAGATAGACCACGTGTCCTTCCCAGGCAGGCCCTGGGATGCCCACCTTTCCTGAGCAATGTCTACGGCAGTTCATTTCTCACCACAAGGGCTTGGCTGTGTTGCCCTCACTTTTCCTTCACCACATCCTGCCTTGCAGGTCTTCCTTCCAGTCCATTTGGAGCCACTCTGTTCACTGCCCTAAACTCCACACCAGCTCTCCTACTGCTCCCACACCCTCTCCTGCCTTACGGGCAGATCCGTTCTTCTCTGCCCCTCACTGCTCACCTCTAACCTAATGCCTCCTCAGAGTCCCTCCCAGATCAGAGCTGATCTTTCACAGTGCCCCTCGTTCTTTCTCACCCCACCCCATTCTGAAGCGGACCCCCTTCCACCCTCCGTCTTTCCCCATGACTGTTCCTGCTCCCAGAGTTCTAGAGCTATGGAGGGGCAGTTTCAGGTAGTCTGGGAGAGAATGACGAAAGAGATTGGAAGGGATCAGGCAAAACAGACCTCTGGACACGTCTTTTCAGGGATTGTTGCCCACGATGGTTAGATCCCAACATACTATTAGATATGGGCTATAAGAGGGGTTGAACCACTCAAACATGTTTTTTGTGTATAGATAAGTATGCACTTTTTTTTTTAATGTTTATTTTCAGAGAGAGAGAGAGGGAGAGCAAGTGGGACAAGGGCAGAGAGAGAGGGAGACAGGATCAGAGGTGGGCTCTGAGCTGATAACAGAGAGCCCATGCAGGGCTTGAACTCATGAACTACGAGATCGTGACCTGAGCCAAAGCTGGTTGTTTAACCAACGGAGCCACCTAGGTGCCTCAAGTATGTACTTTCTTAAGCACTTTTTCACAGCACCTTCTAAAATATTTATATACTACTTAAAAAATTAAAAGTCAACTTACAGCAATAAAAAAAGCAGAAAGGGCAACACAGTATATTTCTAGAGGCTTATTTTATATCATACCACTATTAAAATATCCAGATGCACAATTATAGGACCAAAATCTTCTCAGTGTATATTGAAGAAAATGGCTCCCAGCTGCACCATTTCACACTCTTTGCACAAAATTCAGGATCCCGAAGCCCTGACATCAGGTCTTTTATGCAACATTTGCACTTAGTGTAAGCCACTCTGACCGTGCCAGTTAGAAGTAGCATTATTACAGTTTTTTTTTATTATGATTAAAATAAACCTTATAAGGCAAGGTTCAAAGTAGTGCAAATTGAGTCAAGTAAAAAAACTCATTTCTTAAACTCCACTGCCCCACCAACCAGTCTTACTTTCTACAGGCAAGTGCTTTTAACCATTTCTAACTTTATTTTTTGTTTGGCTTTTACCATAATTGTCAAGGAGTCTTACATTCTTTGCCTGCCGTCAAAGATGGTGACTTTCTGTCACTTGCAGTCTCCCTCCACAGTGTCCCATGACCTGCTCCCCAAGGGCAGGAAACCTGCCTGTCAGCACTGTAGACATGCTCAGTATCGTCTCTCAAGACCCAGGGCAATGTGTAGCGTGTGGAGGGCGTGTGGTAAGTCACTGTAGAGTGAACTATACAATATACTCAAATTTCAGTTCAGTAAACTTGAGATGGTCCCTGCTGGAGGAGCAGTCAGAGCTGATGCAACATCTTCCACTTTTTCCTTGTCAGTTGCAGACTACCATTTTTGCAAAGTTCAGCTGTTTGAATTCTTTTGTGTGCCTATAATTATATCTCATGTTTTGTCTACAGATTGACTCTAAAAAATAAAACATCACCACCCGTATGATAGTTATATATTTTTCACTTACTGTAGAACCAAATACAGTGAAATCCTATGTCTCTAATCCTGCTCGGTTCAAAGAATATTCGAGCCCATGGAGCAATTAAATTCTCTCACGTTCCAGCCTTGCTCAAAACCATGCCATTTTAGTTTGTTCTCTGTCTTTGCACTGGGATTTTTCTCACATTTGCTTGTTTGCTTTCCTTGGAGTTTCTAATTGTTTCCTTGTTTCTTGTTGAGAGAAATAAATGCCTTTTTAATTCCTGGATATTTCTAGGTTTTTAATACTATCTGATGAGCGAAATCCTTTTTTTTTCCTTGGAGATATTCGTCTTAAGTCCTTTGACTTCAGTTTCTAATTTGGGCCAATTGGTTTATAAACTCCCTGTACAATTGTCATCTGATTCGCCTTTTCATTGTTTCCATGGAATAAATCTGTCTGTTGTTATTGTAGACAATCCTCCAATCCACATTGTTCTTAAATTCTTCTTTTTTTAGTTTCATTTTTCAATTTCCGAATAAATTCCCAAGTCATTATTTTTTCAGCAAGACTATGGGAGATAAACTCTTTGACCTCTTGTAGTTCTGAAATGAATTTGGTCCCCATGGTGACTGACTGCAGCAGGAAATGGCTTCAAGGGACCCTCACATGTAGATCTGCTGGAGGGCAGGATGCCTAGGAGACTGACTTTGGGAGACTAACCTCGGATTCATCCTGTCTTGCAGTGAACGTTCTGGAACAGGCTGGAGTTGTAATCAGTTACTTGCTCCTATTGGGCTGGCAGAGTGTGGATAAGGATTCGATACAAAAACACACCGGGGGCAGCTGGGTGGACCAGTTGGTTAAGCGTCTGACTCTCAGTTTCGGCTCAGGTTCTCATGGTTCATGAGTTCAAACCCCATAATGGGCTCTGTCCTTCAGATTTTCTGTCTCCCTCTCTCTCTCTTTCTCTCTCAAAAATAAATAAATAAACATTAAACACACACACACACACACACACACACACACACACACACACACCCCCCAAACAGCTTCTTGAATGGAATGCTTACCTGAGCCAGGTAGGACAGCAGCGGCTGTGAGCCTTCAGGGAGATGTGAAAGCCAGAGGGTTTGCACTCTGACTGGGTGTGCTGCTGCTCTGTGCTCTGTATGGCTGTAATTGTACCTTCTAACTACACGGAAGGATCTGGATATCTGCCTGTGTCTCTTGACTCTCTCCATCCATCCTTTGGGACAGCCAAGCCAGTGGGCATAGTGTCATTTTCTCAATATTTCCCAGGTGCTGCTAGATCATATTGTAATTTCCAATATCAATGCTACAATGTCGGTAGTCAATCTAATTTTTGTCCCTTTGGAGTTGACCAACTTTATGTGTGCTTTACTTTTTTTTAGTGGTGGCTTTTAAGAGTATCTATTCTTAGTGAAATTTTATACTGATGTATTTGTGTACATATCTTTTTTCATTCTTCTTCTAGCTATGGGGGAACACATTTCATTCTGAAGGTGTGAAGTTTTGGGGGGGACTCTGGAAAATTTATATATATTTTTTATTTCTCAATTATGTCCTCTTTCATGTACTGGATTCAGTTTTTCTGGGATGGATGTTGGACACCTGGATGCCTGGTTTGATGCTTTGTGTCTTTTCTCTCATGTTTTGTATCCTTTTTCTTTCATTCCATGTCTTTTTTATGTTTGTTTGTTTGTTTGTTTGTTTGTTTAGAAAGAGAGACAAGGGGGGGCGGGGGGGGGAAGAGAGAGAGAAAGAATCCCAAGCAGACTCTGCACCATCAGTGCACAGCCAGACATGGGAATCAAACTCACGAACTTTGAGATCATGACCTGAGCTGAAATCAAGAGTCAGATGCCCAACAAATGAGCCACCCAGGTGTCCCTGTTGTTCCATGTTCTTGACAGTTTCCTTAATTTTATCATTGAGCCCCTACTTTTAAATTTTTATTGCAGAAATCACATTTTTAATTTCCAATCAATTATTTTCTCAATGTCCTCTGTATTAGCAGCCTATTCATGTTCCATTGATGTAATAGCTTCTCAAATATCTGATCATATTAATAAAAACTTTTACATTTTCCCTCTTTTCTTGAGTATTCTGTTTCCTCTAAAGTCCGATTTTTTTCTTTTTTAGAATTTGTTTTGAAGGAGTTTCTTGTTTTGTTTTATCTGCTCTCCGCTTTTAACCTATTGATTTTTTTTCATAAAGCTTACGATCCTGGGTTTCCTTTTGTACTTAGGAAAGAGAGGCTTCCTCTGCCATTTCTCCAATGCATATGTTCCCAAATGAAAAGGGTTGGCTGTGAGCTCTGTGTACTTGTGTAGAGTACATTGAGTGAATTATTATGTTTGTTGGAAGCAGACAGGCAGGGTCGCCCCTCACCCCCATCTCCAACTTTGCAGATAAATGAAGAGAGATTTACCCTGAGGTGGGCAGCAGACTCCCGCCCCGAGAGCCCTGGCCTCTCCATGCAGACTCTTCCTTGTAGAGCAGGTCTCAGGTTTCATGCTGGGGGAAAATGCTGCTACCTACCCATTGTTCTGTGTGCTGAGGGGCTGGTAGTAGAAACAGAGAACTGGTGTTGAGTAACCAACTCAGCTATTCAGTAGGTTAACTGTAAGACATACCCCTTCTGGTCAGTTATATCCTACCGAGGAGAAGGCAGTAAGGGATGGACTTTGGGGATTCATGTGTGTGCACACGTAAAAAGAGAGAGAGAGAGAGAGGAGGTAGAGAGGTAGGGTGGTACCGGTAGGTGAATGATTTACTGGTATTGATTATGTATCTGTCTCTTGACTAAACCATAAACATTTAAAGGCAGAGATGTCTTTAGTGTTGGGAAGTAGGCTGAAGAGAGAGATTAGGCTGCAGAGATGTAATATTAGGAACTGAAGAGGTAGATGAGGCCATGGAGAAAGAGTCCGAGAGAAGAGGGCAAGGACAGAGCCTTGGCCTGTTCAGTCAGCAGATCTTTACCAAGTACATTATTAGAAGGCCAAAAATACACTCTGGAGTAGACAGCCCAGCTCTGCAATTTACCAGTGGTATAGCCTAGGACAAGCATCTTGAACTCTCTGTGCCTTAGTTTCCTTATC